GTGCTATACAAGTACAGTCCACTTACCAATACTTAACAGTGAGAGAACTACACCTGTAGAACAGAATCTGTTCGTTTTGATTTATTTTATTTTATTTATCAAAAACAAACATTTCAAACATCACAGTTTTATAAAAGACCCCCCCCCCACACACACACAGTGTTAAACATCAAGGCTTTTCTTTCAGTTCTGACCAGAACCAGAACCAGAAACCAGCATGGCTCAGATCCATGGACAGGTTCTGGTTCCAGAGTCCTGGTATCAACACAAGGACTTTAAAACGGTCCAACCCATCAGAATGTTCTGTAGGGTCTGGTACCAGAACCTCTGGTCCTGTGGACTGAAATATGGGACTCTGTGACCCGCTGGTCTCTAATACTCAGATTAAACAGGGCTTAACTGGACCAGAACCAAACCTCTGACATGAGTTCTGTTGTTCTGAACAGAACCAACACTTTGAGCCCAAAGTGAAACTTCTGGTTCTCAAACCTGTAAAACCCAGCAGAACTTTTTACTGGACCCAGTCCGGTTCACATCAGTGGGTTTAATGTTTCACTGATGGATCAGGATCAGTTCTGGATCGGTTCTGGATCGGTTAGGATCCAATAAAGTGCAAAAAGTCAAACTTTAACTTGGAGTCGAGACTGAGTGACCCGGTCTCAGATTCAGACCAGACCCGGTCTCAGGTTCAGACCAGACCCGACCCGGTCTCAGGTTCAGACCAGATCTGACCCGGTCTCAGGTTCAGACCAGATCTGACCCGGTCTCAGGTACAGACCAGATCTGACCCGGTCTCAGGTTCAGACCAGATCCGACCCGGTCTCAGGTACAGACCAGATCCGACCCGGTCTCAGGTACAGACCAGATCCGACCTGGTCTAAGGTTCAGACCAGATCTGACCCGGTCTCAGGTACAGACCAGATCCGACCCGTCTCAGGTTCAGACCAGATCTGACCCGGTCTCAGGTACAGACCAGATCCGACCCGTCTCAGGTTCAGACCAGATCTGACCCGG